TCGGTGGACTGTGACACCTGCCCTGGACACAGGAGGGGCCTCGGTGGTGGCCTCGGCTACAGGCACTTCCCATTCCTGCTCTAGGACCTGAAAGGAATCACCTTGCAGCGGTCCCTTCCCTTGTCCTACCAGCTCTCTGCCGAACACCCTGGCTGCCCCTGCGGGCCGCTCACCCAGGTGGGCAGACCCCCGGGCGTCCAGGCTGTTTTAAAGTGCTGATTCCAGGACACAAGTGGTTGGTGGGGGGACGGCAGATTCCTTCTCGGGGCTGGAGTGCCCAATCCCCGGGGCCTCCTGAGGCTTTGGAAGCTCAGCCCTTTCCCCATCCACAGGCCTGTGGGGCACTGGCCTCAGGTGCGGGCCTGGCCAGCTCCGTCTGCTCCCAGGCGGAGCAAGGTGGCAAAGAGTGGGGGCAGGGGCCAGGTTCCCAGGGGAGCCTCTAGAATGTATGCAGCGGGCAGCCTGCCCACGATCCAGGCACCAACCCCACAGGGAGGAGTGCGGCCTCCCTGGGGATGGGGGGAGGGTGGGTCCAGGGCTGGGGCCCATCCTCGAGCCAGGGGAGGAAACAGCTAATCCTCAGAGTGTGGAGCTAGAAGCCTTCACCGGCACCCTGGACAGCAGCTCTGGCTGCCAGGAACTCCCTCCTGCCTGCCCACCAGAAGCTTCCTCACGTTCTGCAGGCAGCGTCCTTGACCTGCCTGTCACTGCACCTGGGGCCACGGGCACACCACCAGCCTGCCCCACACACAGGCATGCAGGAGACAGCTGCACCCCACCAGTCAGGTGCAGGGATGTCAGCCCAGCAGGGCTGAATCCCACCCCTGGTGACCAAGGCCTCTGGTCCCAGCACTGGACAACCACCACAGGACACGGGAGGGAGAAGGTGCTTTCTGTGCCTGTATCCCATGGCATCTGAACAGCTATTCTCACTGGTATGGCTGGCAGATGGGGAAACTGAGACTGGGCATGTGGCATGGAGGCTAAGGCAACTTTGGGTCTGTGGAGACCTCTCCCCTCCCCCCTGCCCTGTCCCACCCTGTTCTGCGGTGCCTGGGTGTGGGCAAGGGCGCGGGTGCAGCCCCCTGGATCCCAGAGCAGCCTCTACTCCAAGCCCCTGGCTGAGTCCCTGGCTCTGGGAGAGCAGGGTCTTGCGGGGCAGAGGGGACGTCACTCCAAAGCCCGGCAGCCCAGAGCGCAGTGAGGGGATGAGGGGACATGCTCTCAGTCACACACAGTCCTCAGCCTCAGCTTCCTCACTTGTAAAATGGGAGCAAGTGCCACTGTGCAGTGCGACATTGCCAGGAGGAAGCAGGGGCCATCCCAGGGCAGGTCATGACACAAGGGCTGTCATCCTGTCCAACCTCGAGCCAGGGCTGGCCCTGGGAGCCCTGCAGGTGCAGGAACCTGGCTGGCCCTTTACCCAAACCAGGGCTGGGCATCTCCCCAACCTCCCCGGGGCTCAGGTTCTGCCACCTGGGATGCCCCTACCCCCAGCCACCCTGTGCAGCCCTCTGCCAGGTGTGGACCTGGGTGCTGGCCACCACCCTGCCCTCAACAGTGACGGGCAGCACTTAGCCAGGCTGTCAACACGGGGCTCTTAGTCTCGGCAGGCTGGGGGTTGGGGACTGCCAAGGGCTCGAGGGCAGACTCCAGTGGGGATGGGAGGCTGGGACCCTGGCAGGGTGGGCCACGGTGAGGTGCGGGAGGGCTGGCTCCGGAAAGCCACAGGACGCCTCTGGAAGGGTCACAGGCCTAGATGGGACAGCCTCCCTCTGGCTACGAGAAGCTGGCAGGAGATGGCATGCCTGGTAGGGCCCCTCCATCCCCACATGGGACCTCCATGCTGGGACGCCCACGCTGTCCCTCACATCCCAGGGAGTCAGCTTGTCCCCACTGCCTCAGCTCTCCCTCGTACATGGAAGGGGACGGCAGGTCTGGGCAGGGCCAGGGAACCCTGCCATGGATGTGAGATCAGGTAGAAACTTCAGTGCTGGGGTGGTCAGCGGGCCTGTGGGGAACAGATCAAGAGGCCGTTTTAGCCACCAAGGAAACCGTGGCTAGGAGAGGAAGGATTTGCCAACAGTCTGGGAGGAAGCGGCAGGTCCCGGGCAGGCATCACGGGAAGGACAGAGCTAGGGCCCCAGCACCTGAGGGCACTCGGGGCAGGTGGACCTGTGCCCTCAGAGGTGTGTCCCTCAAACAGATGCGGTCCTGGCTCCTGCTCACCCCTAGAAGCACACGAGAGTCCTGAGACCTCCGAGGGGACAGAGAGGGCAGGGGGTGGCTGGCAGGACGCAGGAAGCTGTGGGGCTCCGACAGCAGGGCGCACTCAGCGTGCACAGCCTAGCCCCCCACCCCCAAAGCTGGCCAGGCCCGTTGAGAAGTGCCCCCACCAGAGCTGGCCACTGAGAAATGTCCCCGCTCCAGAGCTGGCCAGGTCCAGTGAGAAGTGCCCCCCGACTCCCGCCAAAGCTGGCCAGGCCCGGTGAGAAGTGAATCCGCCCAGCTGGCTAGGCCCGGTGAAAAGTGGCCTCCCTGGAAGTGGCCAGACCCTGTGAGAAGTGGCTGCTGAGGGAGCATGGTTCTGACCAAGAGCCAGCCAGGTGGACAGTCAGTGCCTGTGCGTGTGACCGATGGCCCTCCCAGGCGGCACAAGAGACCATAAGTGGCCCCAGCAGGCAGCTCAGCAGCCCCCACCCCCTCCCCTTCCCAGCTGAGCCCCCCAGGAACAGAATCCCCTTTCATTGGACCTGTGGGTGGTCCCCACCAGGCAGCTGGGGGGCGCGGTGGGGAGGGAGGGGGCCGGACCTGCCGACAATGGGACCAGCTGTGCCTGTCCCCACCCCCACTCTCACCCACCCAGGACTGGCTGGCCAGCAGGAGCTTACCTCTGCCCTGGCCAGTTCCGCTGCCCGCCCCCACCCCAAGCCCCAGGGAGGCCCACTGCTGGCGGGAACCCGAGCCTTGGGTGAGCCTGCGGGCCAGGAGGCGCGGAGCGGAACAGACGGGCTCTGCCCGGGCCAGATGTTCTGGGGCGGCTCCTCCAGCTCCAGGCTGCCTCTGCAGCACCCCGGGCTTCCCCCCTGGGGCCCTGCAGATGGGGAGAGAGGAGGCCCCGCCCGGTGTGGGGGGTTCCTGAGGCTACCCCAACCTGGGTTCCTACTGGCCTGCCCCTTTCTGGCCTCCCTGGGCTGGGGAGGGGTGGTAGACAGGCTGGGCAGGGCACCTGCCTCCCGCCCATCCTGGGCCACTGTAAGGAAACGTGGGCGAGGCAGACCGCCCAGGCAGCCTGCTGTGCCTGCCGGGGAGGCCCTCACGCTCCGGCCGAGCCGCGTGCCCCCCGCCCACCTCACTCCCCTTCCCCCTGAACACACACGGCACAGAAACAGGCCCGGCGTATGGGGAGCCAGCTGGCACCCCGTCAAACTAGCAGCCAGGCACGCTGCCCGGGCAGCCAGCCAGCCTCTCACCCCGGCCCGCCCGCCCTGGCCTCTGCCGCTCAGCTCACAGTGCGGCAGCTCCATGCGGCCTGTCCGCCTGTCGGGGAGCACGGCTGAGTGGCGGGGAACCCCCAGGGGAGGGGATCCCGGGGGGCAGGGCAGCAGAACTGAAAGCTGTGCAGGCGCAGGGAGGCGGAGGCACCGGCCTCACAGGTGTGTGGCCTTGGAGGCTCTGCCACCCTCAGGGCACTCTCCTACCCTCGCCCCTTCTCAGCCCTGGGGGGGCCTGCATTCTGGGGCCCAGGCGGGTGGCTCAGAGACCATGCCCCAGTCCCCTTGTCTGCCTCCATCTGTGCTTGTCCACCTGGTCCCTGCCCCACATTCGTGTCCACCCCACCTGACATGGACGGGGGGAGATGCAGCTCGCCCAGCTGGGTGCCAGGTGCCCAGCGGGGTGGACAGATTAACCTCCTTGGCCTGCCACAGCTGGGGCACTGCAGGCACTGTCCTCCTTTGCTCAGGCCACCCCTGCCCGGAAGAGCTGCTTCCCTGGGACGCAGATGGGAGAGGCTCAGAAGCCTGGACACCAGGCGCTCCTGCAGACGCTTGTGGCCGGACACTGGCCTCCACTCAGCCGGGAGCTCTCAGGGCTCGGGGGCAGATGGAACCGGCTGATGCTGGGTGGTGTGAGGGGCTGAAGGCTGGTAGGGGTCCCGGGTGGGATGTGGGCAGGTCTGCCCAGGCAGCCGTTAGTGAGAAGGGAAGTGAGTGTCTGGAAGCCGTTATGGGTGCTGCCTGCCTGCGGGCCACCACACGCTCGCCCTCGGAGCAGCTCCCAGAAGGGCAGGCCAGGGGCGCCAAGGCAGGTGGCGCTACCCACAAACGGCCCTCCTTGCTGGTGGGGTCCCCCGGGGTGGGCAGAGGGGGTGGGGTACGGGCTCTCTTCTGGTGCGGTGTGAGAGATGGGCTAGTGCCACTCTGGACCCCGACTAGGGGCCACCACTGCCAGGAGGGAAACCAAGTCAGCTGGCCGGGTGGGTCTGGGCACCTGCAGCTGGGCCGGGGCCAGGCACGGCCGTTGCATCTGTTGCAGGTGGTTTGCTGCGGCTGCCACAGGCCTCCCATTCCTGCTCCCCACTTGCCAGGCCACCCTCCTCCCCCCTGCAGACATCCTGGGAGCCAGATGCCACGGCTGGCCGGGGCGTTTGCCCACAGACACAAAAGGCTGAGGCGGGGGGGGGGTAGGAGCCGGGAAGGCGAGTTCCCCACGGCCAGCCCAGGAGCCATGGCCAGCCTGGTCTCCCCTCTAGGAGGCCACTAGGAGCACAGGGGCGGGAGGAAGAGGCAGGCGAGCCTGGGCTGAGGACCCCATGCCGCCCACCTCGCCCCGAGGCAGCGGCGTCCCCTGCACCCGGGAAGAGGCTGCGCCTTACCGCCTGCCCAACGTGTGCACCCTGCGCCGAGAGCCCAGATAATTTCAGCAACTGTCCCTCACTCGTCACCTGTTCTGTTTGGAAAACAGCCCCTTTCTTGTTGCACAAAGAGAGGTTTCTCTGCTTCCAGCAGTGCCGGGTGCTAATCTCCCTGCCTGGAACAGGGCGGCGGCGCGGTGTGTGGGTCCGCGGCGCTCTGTAAACACGACGCCCGCCGCTCAGCAGTCATTGAGTTACGGCAGTGCTGGGTGCCAGGAGCGGAGAGTCCTGTGTGCCTGCTGCCAACTGCAGTTACCTCTCCGCGTGCCAGCCGCGGGGGCTTAACCCTTCCCACGCCATGGGGTTGGGGTGGCCGAGGAAATACCAGCAACTGTGGGGCCAGGGGCATGGGGGCCAGGGCTGCTGCCTACGCCACAGGGCAAGGGGTCTGGGCAACATGGGGAGCCAAGCAGGGGTGCCCTGCCAGGGAAAGGCCATGGGGGCTTCCAGGGGCCTCCTGCCAGCCAGGCAGTCTGAGAGTAGCCAGTATTGGTGAGGGGCCTACTGTGTGCTTTCATGCCCAGGGCTGTGTCCCACGGGGAGGCAGGTGGCCTAGGAGGAACTCTTTGTCCTGGGCCAGGCCCTAGGGTGGCAGCCTGTGTGTTGACAGCTCCCCCTGCCCGGCCCCGCCACCCCGCCACTGGTACATCTGGAGCCCTCCTCCCAGAGTCTGGGGACGTGGGGCGCGGCCACGGTGAGGGTGCGGCCAGTCCAGCTGGGCTCCACATTTTCTCAGTTCCCCAGAGTCCCTCCTGGCCCCCACTTTCCCCCTTGCTGCCCATCTGGAGCACACATCTGGCCAGGACCACGGCCCAACAGGCCGCCCCTGTTTCCAACCGATCGCTGCCTCCCCAAGGGCTTCCTCAGCAGGGAGGGGGCCTCACCAGAGAGTGCCTGGCAACGCCCACTGGCCAGGTTCCCACTGTCCTGGTGGGAGCCCCTCACCTGCCCCTAGCCTGGGCACCAGGGTCAGTCTCTTGGCCACCAGGGCACTGCTGGGAGCCCAGTCCACCAACTTACCTTCGTGGGAGTGGGAGAACCAGATCTGGGAGGTGGCGGGGTGGGAGCCGCGGTAGGCCTGCTCAGGCGGGGAGGAGCTGGGGCCGCTGGGGTGCGTGGAGGCTGCCGAGCCCAGGCTGCTGGTGAGGAAGCTGCCCATGAAAGAGGAGGCTGGAGAACTTCCCATCAGGCGGCTGCTGGCTGTGGACACAGGGCAAGAGTGAGTCTGGGGGCAGCTCTGAGGGTGTGCTCAAGGCAGGGGCAACACCACAGCCCTTCTCCACAGGGGACTCTCAGCCCCAAACTCCCCTGGAGCCTTTGTCTTTAAACATTCAAGAAGCTGATGGTGGGAAAAGCTACCCACATATGCCTTTGACAGCCACATTCGGGGTCCTGAGTCTTTCGGTGGCTCAGGTGCCCTGGTACTGACACCCCCTGCTGTTGCAAAATCCAAGAATGTCATCTTTGTCACAACATCACCACCAACCACCACCACCACCACCACATCATCCACCATTATCACCACCAACCACATCACCCACTACCAGCCACATCACCACCAACCACGCCACCACCACCACCAACCACATCACCCACCACTATCGCCACCAACCACATCACACATCACCATCAGCCACATGGCCCACCACCACCATCAACCACATTACTACCAACTACATCACCTTTACCGCCACGCCCCCAACCACATCACCACCACCACACAATACCAACCACACCACCCACCACCATCACCAACCATACCACCACCAGTTCCACAAACCACCATCATAATCAACCACATCACTATCCTCGGCACCAACCACCGTTGCGCCGATCATCATCAATAACCACATTACCCATCACCACCACCACCGTCACCATCACCACAAACACCACCACTGTCACCACCACCACCGTCACTACCACCACAAACACCACCACCGTCACCACCACCACCGTCACCATCACCACAAACACCACCACCGTCACCACCACCACTGTCACCACCACCACCGTCACCATCACCACCGTCACCACCAGCAACATCACCATCGTTATCAACACAGTCACCAGGACCAGCACCATCACCATCATCACCACGAACACCACCGCCACCACCAACTAGGTGCGGAGTACTCTGCCAAATCCACTTTTAGGACCTTGGGGAAGACACCGCCCTGTGTATGGGCCTCCTTTTCATAGCGGGAGCACCCTGATTCTCTCAGCCCACAGTGGTGGGCAGCTCCATGGCCTCTTAGACACTGGCGAACTGCCAGCATGCTTGCCAAGAGGGCCAAGGAGACACGAGGCACCAGGGTGGGCAGGGCTCCAGCCACAGGCCCTATGTCAGCTCCACGCAGTCTTGGCTCCTCCAGGCAGCACTGAGAGGAGCTGTTCTTTCTCCCGAGTGGGGTCTTCATCCCTCTTCCCAGGCCGAACCAACTGACGTGTCAGACAGCAGTGCCCCAGTCCCAGCGGAGGGAGAAACAGAACCGGGGGAAGGCTGAGGACAGCAGACAGAGGAAGGAAGGGCGGCGCTGAGGACGGATCCACTCCCAAAATCCCTTCAGAGTCCTTGGGGCTGGGCCCTGATCGGGCTAGCACAGAGCTGCAGATGGCGCTCACCTCTGGGTCAGGTGGGGCCAGCGAGAGGCTCCTTCCTGGGCATGGCCGGGACACCCAGCACTTCCCCTTGCACCTGAGTGCGGGAAATGGCAAGGCCAAAGGGCCCCGTCCAGCCCGGCTCTCCCGGCCCATTGGCCCACCTGCAACCTCGCTTATGGCCCCTCAGCTGCGCCCCCACTCTGCCGAAGTCCAGCGGCCAAGGCCAGGCTGAGGGAGCCTCCTTGGGTTGCCATGGCTACCAACTCCTGCTCACGGAGGACACAGCGCACGGAAATTTCTGCACTCGCGGCCCCGCTGCTCCGTGGGTGGTCTGGGGCTGACACTGGTCGGCCCCCACCCCTGCCAGGCGCCCTGGCACCTTGTCATCTCCATCCCACGGGCAGCAAGCCTGGCCTGGGACCATTTCAGGGACCAGGGTAGCCACTGCTGCCTCAGGTAACGGGGACGTGAGGCTGAGCGTGGGGCTAGTAGGGGTCTGCAGGGGCCCAGCCTGAGGTGAGTCAGGACAACCGTTCCCTGGCCCAGGAGGCAGGGGGAATTTGTGAATTTCTGATGCCTCATCCAGCCTGGCTTGGCCCTGGGAACTTCCCAGACATGAGGTGACTCAGCAGAGGCGGTGGGGCCTGGGGGGCTGGGGGGGAGCTACCCTGCAGGGCCCTGGCGAGGTCCTGCTGTGCGGCGCCAGTTCCCAGGCCCCTTCCCCTCCTGTGTGTGAATGTGGCCGTGGGGACTCAAGGGGCCCCTCCCAGTCACGGCAGCAGAGAAGGGTCTGTGAGTGCTGGCGGGGGCGTGGGCTGAGCTGGTCTCTGTGGCGGGTGGGTGGGTGGAGAGGAAGAGCCAGCTAAAGAACCCAGGCTCAGGGCAGGGGGTGAGGGTGTCCCGGAGCCAGGGGCTTCCCGGACCACAGGACTGGGACTGACATGGGACGGGGCCAGACCACAGGCCTGGCGGCCAGGGAGGGGACTCTGGGTTGGGAAGGGAAGTGTTGGCTTCCCCCGCTTGGGGACCCTGGGGCATGCCTGTGGGGTGAGTGTGGGCTCCCCTCGGAGCTGGAAGCTTGCCGCTGCCTCGCCCAGGCCCGCCTCAAGTCCCTCCGGCCTTCCCGCCCCCACACCCTCCCAGGGAAGTCCCTCCCGCCTCTTCCTCCCAGGGATGGTGGGAAGCAACTGAGTCCAAAAGCTGGGTCTGGAGAAGGGATTTCTCCAAGATCCCGGCCTGAGAACCCCGTCCTTGGGCTCTCCCACACCACGGCAGGCAGGGGCAGGACACACCCTCCTGTCCCACAGGGCCCTCAGTGGGCCACCAGCCTGTCTCTGGACTTGGGGACCCCTGTTGTGGTGCCCTATCTGAGCCCCCATCAAGGAAGGGTCCGTGGCCCCAGAGTCTGGGAAATAAGAGGGAATGGGACAGGCGCCCCAGCCCAGCTCCTCCCTGATGCCTGATCAGCCCTGGCCAAGCTGGGGGCCCCGAAGTGCTGTCTGTGCCCAGTCAGCCAGGGCCGCTGACATGGAGGTCTTTTTCACTCCTCTTCCCTCTTTCATTCTGAGAACGAGCCATTGGATTGCTGTCTCCCTGGCATACCAACATCACAGCTTTGCATTTTCACCATAATAAGCTCAGGTAATAGGGCACAAGAGAGGCCAGACACGGTGGCTCATACCTGTAATCCCAGCACTTTGAGAGGCCAAGGTGGTGGATCACGAGGTCAGGAGTTCAAGACCAGCCTGGCCAACACGGTGAAACCCTGTCTCCACGAAAAATACAGAACGTATCCAGGCGTGGTGGTGCACACCTGTGATCCCAGCTGTTCAGGATGCTGAGGTGGGAGAATGGCTTGAACCCGGGAGGCGGGGGTTGCAGTGAGCCGAGATTGTTCCACTGTACTCCAGCCTTAGTGACAGTGAGACTCCAGCCCCAAAAAGAAACAGCACAAGAGTGGAATGGAGACCCCCCCTGAGACCCCCAAGGGCATCAAACGAGCATCCTGGGACCCCCTCTGGGCACAGGTGCACAGACACTTCAGTGTCACATGGCACGCTGCACTCAATTCCATGCAGGCATCCTGGGCACTGAGCCTACCATGAGACCCCACCAACCCCCACAAGGGGACTGGGGTGGCCTCTGGCAACGCTGGCTCATGGCGGCAGCGGTGGCCAGGGCTTCTTACTTGCCACTGAGCAGGCCAGCACCTTGAAGGCAGAACCATGCGGGTGAAAGTGCCTCTGCCCTACACCCTTGCCCAGGCTGGGCGTGCAAATGGCTGGGGTCTCTCAGATGCTTAAAGGGGTGAATTTCTCCCCTGCTGTCCTGGCCTTGGCTTGAAACTCAACAGCAGATTCTGCAGACCCTGGCAGGTGGTCATTACTGTGGTGACCCCTGCCAGTGACGGGGAGGGGGCTGCGGGCCACCTGAGGCCTTCCCTACCCCATCAAGCGCCTGAGGAGCCCAGGAAACCCCAGGACAGAGCATCACGCCTCTACTGCCACCTCCAGGAGTTTGGGGTGGCAATGCCACTGGCCAGCTGAGCCATGGGCAGACCTGGCTGCCACCTCCCCAGCCCCCGCCTGCCGACCAGCAGTCAGCCCCAGACAGAGCTTGTGCCTCGGCTGCCTGGGCTCCAACCAGGGCCAGACCACGTAGCCAAGGCCAGCCAGGAACCGGACTGAGGGCTCTTTCCTGTTGGCACAGTCCCTGTTTACCAAGTGCTGTGGTTACCAGCCCAGACGGAGGCAGCTGGGGGTCCAGGGAATGGGTCTTGGCCTAGGCCTCCTCAAGCCAAGCACCCCATCCTGGCACTGCCTGCAGTGGCACCTCCCCTGCCTGGGGCTTCAGACTCACGTGACCTAGTGCCACCATGCTCCAGGGTCATGGACCCACCATGGGGCTGGTATGAGATGGGGCATGACCCAGTCTAGGTGGCTGGTCCAGGCCTGTAGCCTCAAGTGCTCTGCTGGGGCTGAACAAGGCCTGTCCCCACCAAGGCTATCCCGTCCCTGCCCGTGAGCACAGTCAGGGCACCTTGGCCCTGCACAGAGCCTGCCTGGGGCCGCTCCGCCAGGCTTCCATCAGCCCTCATCACAGGGAGGGAGGCAGTACGGGTTTAGGATTTTCCTGGGGAAGGGACCAGTAGGCTGCACATGGTATCTGTGGGGTCCACCGAGGACTGCACACTGGCCTGTGGCAGGCGCCCTTCCCCCAACTCCAGAGCCACGGCAGGCTCTGGCCCCAGCCCTAGTACCAACCTAGGTCTACCTAGACACCGCAGAGGCCTGGCTCAGGCACCCAGCTAGCTGAGGAAACCGCTTCGGGAGACGGCAATGCCAGGAGGGCTGTGGCCACCCCCTAGGTGGCTCAGGTCCTCGGGCACAGCCCAATCCCTGGGAGGCCAGTGTGACCGGGCGCCCAAGGTCCAGCCAACAAGACCAGGAGGCAGCTGCTAACCCAGGGCAGACCAGCAGCAGGAGGGCTGGGGAACAGCTGCACGACAGCTGGGCTGGGATCCCAATGCCCACTGAGCCTGGCCCGGGGCGGCTGGGTGGGGAGGCCGGCACACAGCCGTTGGGGGCAGGCCACAT